AAGTATTTACATATTTTTATTGGTGATAATCTCAGTTAAAAGTTTCATTAATAATTATAATGTGATTTTTTAATTATATTTTTTTATTAACAAAATGGAATTGAAAGTGTGAGAGATAACTAATCTCAGTAAAAAAAATAAAATTAATATTTATAATGTGATCTTTCAACTATAATTTTCTATAACTCCAAGCGTGTGGTTCAGCGGTAGGGATTCACGCTTAAGCAAGGTCAGAGGTTCGAATCGTCCTCCTCGGGTTCTCGGTACCCCTTCTCTACTATGTCCCGTAGACTTTGGGAACTCAATAGGGTCTTCATCTGTAAACACCAATTATCATAATTGGTTTTCTTTGACAGTTGTGGTACGGTCATTCCATTCACAATCTTTGTCATTACTCTCTCTTTCTTCTTTCTTCCTCCTTCACAGGCGCACACTGTTTTCCTCTCACACTCGGCACTCAGAGCATAAAGCTCTGATACCAATTTGTAGAAAAAATAAGAGAGACGAGGTAATACTAATGTTGTGGGTGAACGTAGCAACTCACTGTATTTTTTATTGAATAAGAGATGACCTTTAAATAGCCATTTTACAACGTACTGAACTAACAAGAAGATAATAAAATATCTTATCAAATCAAAACTTATCAAGAAACTATCTTATCTAATCTGAAACAAAATAACTCAAAAGATAAATCAAATAATTCCAGATAACTTAAATCGGATATCTCGGATATCTCGGATATCTCGGATATCTCGGATATCTCGGAATCTCTAGAAATTTAAGATTTTCCAACATTATATGCGATCTTTACCTAATATAGCGCCTCGGGTTGATAATCATCCCCACTAATTATATCCCCATTTGTATAGAAACATTATTTGTATATACTTTCAAAGCAATAAAAATGAACACACTAGCTACTTGCTAAGTACTTTTATTTTTAATAAATTAACTTGCTAATCAAAGACAAACCATTTATGCGAAAATGATTGGATTCAAAATGAAAACTTTTGGCAGCTAAAATCAAAAGAGTTGATAAATTTAAAATTTAACTTGTTACAATATTGTTAGCCACACACATTATATTTACTTTACATTAAAGATAGAAATTTTCCGTCCAATGAAATAACACATCATAGAAATAAATACTTTCTTTTATATATATAGGGAGCATATCAAGTGAGAAGGAATTTATTATGAGAGATGAGAAGGTTAAAATATAACCCTTAGATTAATTTCCTCTCACTTGATTAAACCCCAAATTTTCTCTCACTTGATTAATCTAAGGGATATTTTAACCCTCTCATCTCTCATAATAAATTCTTTCTCACTTGATATGCTCTATATATATATATATATATATATAAAAGATGGATCTGTTCACTATAAAAATAAGTCTATCTAAATTTAATTTTGTAAGAAAAAAAAAAGTAAAGTTAATTTGACCTTTGACATATCTCTAAAGTGAAGTTAATTTGACCGTTGAACATTAAGTTAGTATAGGATAACAAACCTATACCAAATAAATCTTTATATGTGTCTAATACTATTTTTTTTCTCAATTTGAGTAGAGATCAATACATATATAGTAATATTTAATTTATTAAATTAAATATATGAACAAGAATAGGTATATATTTATTTGTCTCGTATTTGTATTCATATATATATATATATATATATATATATTCCCAATATGTATGTCTTAACAAATTAGTAATTACTTGAGGATAATTTATAAGAATAAATTATACATATGAAAAAAATGTAAAGATTTTATACAATCATCTAATTATACATTATAATGTATGCATAATAAGTTTATTAATTTTTATAATAATTATTTTTTTATCAATAGGAATTATAATAATTACAACAAAATTTAAATTTAAAATTTTGTATATATTACTTCAAACTCTCATCACTAGATCATTCATAGTGATTTATAATAATTATTTTACAAGTCATATCAATGACAATTTTTAATTGATTGATTGTAAGGATGTTAGGATTGACCTAACATGCTTTTAACATGCTTAAAAATTGAGTTAAGTTGGACATGTTTTTTCATTAGATTCAAAACCTCAACCCAACCTATGGTGGATTGAGAGATTGAGTTGAGTTAACTCACTAACTCATTAAAAAAATTATAAACCATATATTTTAATTTTATTTTCCTAAATTTCTTCAAATTGTATGGTCAAATATAATTAAAAGGAGAAAAAATAAATGATTCAAATTTTCAATGAAACATGTGCTTAATAAGTTAATCAACAATATTAGAATAAGTTCACTATACAACCATAAATGAGATTGCTAATAACAATGAAATAAAACATAATACTATCACAAGTAAGTCTTGATAAACAAAAACTAAAATAAAGCTTTACAATTTAATGTCAATGAGTAAAAATTAAGAAAAAAAATGGGTTAAATTGTTGAGAAATCAATCCAAAATTTTCAATTAGTCATGCATGTTTGTGAAATGTTGAGAGGTGGACTCCAAGAGGCATGATTATTGGAGAACTAGTCCATTATCATAATGACATGTAAGTTAAGAGTTAAGGACATTTATGAATGTAGCCTTGAACTTCAATACCATAAAAAAAGAGATTTTGTATGTAGTTATCATCAAATTTATCCAAAAAAACA